CAGTAATGCGTAGCCTGCAGTGCAATCGCTCGGGTTCAGTTAGAGCCCAACGCCTCGCTCGGGTTCAGTTAGAGCCAACGCCTCGCACGTGTACGAGAGAAACGCGCATCGCTCGGCCCCCGACCTCCCACCGTAACCGGCAACTCCCCGAAATTTTCCTCCCCCTCGCTTCTACCATGGTTTTTTCCATCATGGACGGCCCAAAGAATGCCATGCAGCTGCGTCTCCGGCCCGCCCAGGATGAAAACCCCATTTTCTGTCATGATTTTTTGTCATAGAAGTAGGAGCCCACCACATCTATGATGATACCGGGTTTTGTCACAATTATCGTCATAGAAGTGTCATATGTATGGCAGAAAAAAATTCGTTCGGCCCAAAATGTCACAGATGTGTCTTTTTTTTGTAGTGTCCCCCTTGCTTCCGGTGGCGCCGGAGCGCTACCGGGGGCCATCATCATCACTGCGATCTTCACCAACACCGCCGCCATCTTCACCAACATCTCCATCACCTTCCCCCCTCTATCTACAGCGGTCCACTCTCCCGCAACCCGCTGTATCCTCTACTTGAACATGGTGCTTTATGCTTCATATTATTATCCAACGATGTGTTGCCATCCTATGATGTCTTAGTAGATTTTCGTTGTCCTATTGGTGGTTGATGAATTGCTATGATTGATTTAATTTGCTTGTGGTTATGTTGTTGTCCTTTGGTGCCCATCATATGAGCGCGCGCGTGGATCACACCATAGGGTTAGTTGTATGTTGATAGGACTATGTATTGGAGGGCTAGAGTGACAGAAGCTTCAACCTAGCATAGAAATTGATGCATACGGGATTGAAGGGGGGGCCAATATATCTTAATGCTATGGTTGGATTTTACCTTAATGAACGTTAGTAGTTGCGGATGCTTGCTAATAGTCCCAATCATAAGTGCATAGAATTTCAAGTCAGGGATGACATGCTAGCAGTGGCCTCTCCCACATAAAATTTGCTATTGGTCTAGTAAAGTAGTCAATTGCTTAGGGACAATTCCACAAATCCTACCACCACTTTTCCACACTCGCTATATTTACTTTATTACATCTTTATCTAAACAGCCCCTACTTTTTATTTACTTGTTCTTTATTATCTTGCAAAACTATCCAACAACACCTACAAAGTACTTCTAGTTTCATACTTGTTCTAGGTAAAGCGAACGTCAAACGTGCGTAGAGTCGTATCAGTGGCCGATAGTACTTGAGAGAGTATTTGTTCTACCTTTAGCTCCTCGTTGGGTTCGACACTCTTACTTATCAAAAGAGGCTACAACTATCCCGTATACTTGCGGGTTATCAGTACAACAGGGCGCGCATGACTCGAGGGAGCTTCGGGTGACGAGCATTGGCCAGGCGCCATGAATGAGATAGCAGGAGTCTTGAGGCACGGCCGGTGGGCACCATGAATAGGGGGCGGTGGCATGCCCTCCAGCACAGAAGCATTGATTGCGAAGCTCGCCAGTCTTGGGCACATGGTCGAATCTGCGGCGGCTGCAGGCGTCACAGGCGACGAGCTCCTCGGATCTGGGGAAATCCCCACCAGTTGCGGGAACAGGCCCGCAACCAGATCCGGCCGGAAGAACCACGGTGAGGGGAAGCCGGGGGGGAACCGCGGCGAGGTCGAGCCGGCGCGAGGGGGGCGAGGGGCGGGGGTGTCTGACGCGGCTGGTATGGAGGCTGCGGTCGCCAGAGCGGCGCGTCGCAGGAGGGTGGTAGGTAGGGGCATACCGATATCTGACAGAGAGGAGTTTAGTGACTCGGAAAGAATCAATACCAAGCACACGAACCTATGCAAAACACTTACTCCCTCTATCCATATATAGGGTCTAATGCGTCTTTTGAGACTAACTTTGACCACATGTTACAACAATAATATATGACATACAAGTTTTTTTTTGCTGGTGATATGACATTCAAGTTACACAAAGCATACCGTCAAATTTTTACATGAAAGAAGGTTCCAATGATATAATTTTTGCATTATACATCTCATATACTCCAATGGACAAAGAAGGTTCCAATGGAGTACTATTAATCTTATCAATAGACAAAGACAGTCTCAAAAAAGGCATTAGGCCCTATATATATGGATGGAGGGAATAAATGAAAGAAGTTTGTCTTAGGCTGGTCATAGTGGGGAGTAAGTTATACTAGTGTCATGCATATGACACTAGTCTAACTTATTACCTTCGTAATGCAAAGTAACATAATACTAGTGTCAGTAGAGGTCTTTATTTATTAGCTTGTAGACTCATCCTATCTTGAGAAGCGCTATGTTACATTAATATATTATGTTAGCACTTCTTATTAACTACATGCCACATAAGCAAAAATTTCTTGGAGCGTGTTGTGTTCCTAGCTAAGTTACTCTCACTATGTCTAGCCTTATGCACGGAAGAGTTTAGTTGTTAAACAATTAATTGAAAGAAGCTTGGCAACAACAAACTAAGCATCTATGTATTGGGGACTTTATTTGCTAAACTTTTTAATGCACCTAGCACCCCATCTAAGAGCAAGTACAATAATAGGCTCATAGCCTATTTACACATGGCAATCTTGCCTATGTGAAGGAGAGAGGTATAAAAAATTTGGAAGGAATGGGCTCTCATGCAAGAGCCTAGCTATATGCACAAGGATAGATACTACAATAAATATGAAATTGGGAGAGCTTAAGATGGAGTCTTCCTCTTTCTCTCTTCATTAACTACTACTATGACATATCCGCAAAATACTTACAAAACCATGTTAAAAAAACCTGCATTGGGAGAGCCCTAATAGAAGTAACAGCTTGCAGTAAAAAAACTAACTTGCAGTAAAATCCACTCGATGATGCAGTCTGTCCCATCCATGTAACACAATCCTTAACACCATGCCAATCGAACCTGACAGTGAGTCCGATCGTTTCTGAGCCGAGCAGAGCAACAGCCAGGAGCAACGGCAAGGGTACCAACCCAAACAGCGACTAAGCATCTGTAGCACGCCCTGGGATGTTGCGAGTATTTGTTGCCTTGGAAGCAACGTGCACCTCGAAGCAATCCACACCTATGTTTCGATTCTTTCTTTTCTGAAGAAAATCTACATTTCAATTGGTCCCAAAACTGTGCATGCAATTTCCAGAAGTGTTAGTTTGTTCCCTTCGAAGCTACGGCCCGGCCGACCGGCCGGCTAGCCACGGAGATCAATCTCACCGTCGTCGACCGATCTCCGTGTCGCCATGCGTGCATTCGTGTGGTTGAGTTTTCACCCTTTGGCAGTGACTGAAACTTGCCAGCTACCAACCATGAAAACCTTACTACAAGCATTGCAGTTTCTGGGGCATACCTTCCTTATGCTACGGGCAAGCTCGCTGCTACGTAGCTCTCTGGTAGACTCGTTTCTTTTCTGCCATGTACTCCTATGAGGGCTCTCCCAATGCAGTAAAAAAACTAACTTGCAGTAAAGTTTAAGATAGACGGACCATGTTAAAATTAGTGTAAAAAATGTCGTATTACTTCGTGTCACACGTGTGGCACTTATCATTTAGGTAAAATTAATGGCGTAGATGAGTATTACTCTTATCTCTCATGTGAAAAATTAATATAGACGGACCATGTTAAAATTACTTAGACTAATTCCAGTTAGTTACCTCTTACGACAAATGATCCCTCAAATGATTCCTACAAGGGCGCCTTCCCAACACATTCCTACAAGAATTGAATAATCGATGGTATATTCATACCAATCACTGATCGCGGCACTTCAGTGTGCTTAGCTAGGTACGTAGCAAGGTCCAACGTGTGACAGGTGAACACACACCGACCAAACACACAAAAGGTTGACGAAACAGTAGACGTCAACGTACTGCTTAATCATCCGCGGGCGCAGCTGGACCAGCCATACAAAGCTGCATGCCCTACGTACTTACTACCATTACACTGCGCGCTAATTGCGAACTCTTCACTAATCCCAATCCTAATTTGTAGGTAGACACTATATAAAGCGGCGGCCATCCCGGAGGCATACAGGCATCCCAAGTAACAATCTCCCCCTCTCCCTCTAGCCATAACTTAGCAAGCAACTCCAGCGACCATGGCCTCCTCAAGGTCTCTCAGCAGTCGCATCGGCGCAATGCTGGCCGGCGCGTTGCTCCTGCTGTTGTCTACGGCCTCCGCCGTGGCTCAGCTGGACGTGGGCTTCTACAGCAAGACGTGCCCGCACGTGGAGGAGATCGTCCGGCAGGAGATGCTCGGGATCCTCAAGGAGGCGCCCACGCTCGCCGGACCCTTCCTCCGCCTCCACTTCCACGACTGCTTCGTCCGGGGATGCGACGCCTCCGTGCTGATCGACTCCACCGACGTCGCCAATAGCCCAGCAGAGAAGGACGCGCCGCCCAACAAGAGCCTCCGCGGCTTCGGCGCCGTGCAGCGCGTCAAGGACAGGCTCCAGTCCGCCTGCCCTAACACGGTGTCCTGCGCCGACGTGCTCGCCCTCATGGCCCGCGACGCCGTCGTGCTCGCAGGAGGCCCCACGTGGCCCGTCGCGCTCGGCCGGAGGGACGGCCGCGTGTCCATCGCTAGCGAGACGAACCAGCTTCCCCCACCCACCTCCAACTTCACCCGCCTCTCCAAGATGTTCGCCGCCAAGGGCCTCGACGCCAAGGATATCGTCGTGCTCTCCGGCGGCCACACGCTCGGCACCGCGCGCTGCGTCTCCTTCACGGACCGGCTGTACAACTTCTCCGGCGCCAATAACCCCGCCGACGTCGACCCAGCACTGGACGGCGCATACGTGGCCAGGCTGAGGTCCCAGTGCCGGAGCCTCGCCGACAACACCACGCTCGCGGAGATGGACCCCGGCAGCTTCCTCACCTTCGACGCCGGCTACTACCGCCTCGTGGCAAAGCGCAGAGGAATCCTACACTCCGACTCCGCGCTCCTGGAACACCCGACCACCAGGGCATACGTCGAGCGCCAGGCCACCGGCCTCTTCGCCGCCGAGTTCTTCCGCGACTTCGCCGAGTCCATGGTCAAGATGGGCAACATCGGCGTGCTCACCGGAGAACAGGGCGAGATCAGGAACAAGTGCTACGCCGTCAACAAATAATCATCGATTCAACCATCGGGGTAGTGCAAAGTGCATGCATGGTTAACTCGGTACTATGATTGCTTGCTTGCTTGATTGCATTGGTTCATACATATAATCGTGGTTAATTAACTTGACCTGTCATATATTTACGCGCACTTATTTCTTTTATCGGTGTATTCACTGGTGGCTATGTTTGTAACTGATATTGATTGTAGAGTGCCGCTTAATTTCTTGTTTTTATTTCCATTTTAAGGGGGTTTTTCAGTTCATCATGTATTGGCATCATGTAACGGTAACGATGCAACGAAATTAATAAACATTTTCTCGTATGAGATCTTCTCTTATTTATCATAGATAGATGAATCCTTCGCAGGAACTTGTAATTCCTTAGAAATATTCTTTTTTTCTCCCAACAATCGCTGGACTTGGGCTGCATCTTGAGTGTTCCACTCTTGGTCCCACTCCCCTCTTCGTTGGTATATTATCGCCGGTATCAACACGGGTTATGAACGACCATTTGTAAACTTTAGTTTTTTTCTTCATTTGTGCTTTCTAAAACAAGCCGTTATGTTTCAATCTTTGCCGCCAAGTCCTCATAACCCAGATATCCTTTACTTAGAAATGGGATTTTATCACAGAAACGGCAACACCTATACCAAAGATCGATACCAAGTAAGTTGTTCCCACTAAAACGACGAGTAAACATTGTTTCTTCACGTGAAAGACAGGTGCTCCTATAGATGTGAAAAGAAAATTAGCATACAACACTTTCGAAGATCCAGTTGACTGAGGACATGTTTTATTTCTTCCAGTGGAAGAAAGAGGGCCCTTTGGCTAGTGTTCCTCGGGCTTTCCGTTGGTCCACCTCGTCTTCTGTGGTCTTAGGCCATGAAGGCGTGGAGGATCCTGGCCCTTGCCGGTGGGGGGCTTTGTTTTTCTTGCTTTTTGAGTTTTGTTAGGGTTTGCGTCTTGCTCACAGAGCCGAGGCGGCGACTGCTCTCTGAAGATGGAATAAAGTTCTCCCCGTCTAGTCCCCGTCTCGGTGGTGTTTCTAGCATCGTCGGAGGTTGTGTGAAGGTTTGTCTCCGGCGGATCTTGTAGAATTCGGTCGGCGTTTGTCTTCGGTTGATCCACGTGATCTTGTCTTCGTTCGTCTATGTTCGTGTGTCAACAGGTTAGATCCTTCCGATCTATACTTCTCTTCATCAGTGGAGCTTGTTGTTCTGGTGCGCTGGTCCTATGTGGCCTTAGCAGCACGACTTCCCGACTGTCTACTACATAAAGGTTTGCCCAGCCGGCCCAAAGGCCAAACACAATTGATGAATGTCCTCCATCGACAAGCAGCTATGGGCTTTGCTTTAGAGACATCCTATTCGGTGCTTCAGGCGCCTAAAAGGGGAGCTCCTATACAGCGCTGCAGGCGCCCGTTAACAATCCGGCGCCTGCAGCGCTGCTAGCATGAGCCGGCCCACTCACGTGCTGCCCTAATTATTTTTAGTTTTTTTTTGCGAAAATAAAAATATGAAATGAAGAAAGGTTTACAGATTTGAAGAAAAAAAGTTCATCCATTTGAAAAAATATGTTCATATCTTTAAAAAAGGTTCATAAATTTTAAAAAGTTCATCAATTTGAAAAAAAAGTTCATTCAAAATGAAAAAAAGTTCATCCAATTTCGCAAAAGTTCATTAAATTTGAAAAAAGTTCATAGAAATTGAAAAATGTCACGTATTTTTAGAAAAAGTTCATGGAACTAAAAAAAAGTTTATCCATTTTCAATACAAAATGTTCATCAATATTCAAAAAAGTTCATCAATCTCAAAAAAGTTCACAGATTTTTTTAAAAAAAATGGTCAACCGGCGCCTAGATGGGCGGCCCATTTACAGATGCCACAGGCGCCAGTTTACAAAATGCACGTTAACTGGCGCATGTGGCGCCAAATAGGAAATGCCGCCTAAAAGGTGCACCGAAATCGCTAGGCTGATTCATGGGCCATGGCCCAATTACCCTTCCGCCCTCTTGCTCACTCGCTAGCTTTGTTTTTTTCTTTTTGTTCGCTATTCTTGTGTTACTAACATAATTCGTGCAATCAAAAACAAAATAACAAAGTCGAAGAACCAGGCAGTTTTGGTAAAGGTACGAAAAACTGGTTGACTGTTCACCATCGAAAAACTACAATATTCATAAAAATTTGATTCAAAGGTTCAATAATTGGAAATAGTTCACAAATTTGAAGAACTTCAATTTTTTTAAAGTTCAAAAAAATTCCAAATAGTTCATTAATTTGAAAAAATCACGTATTTAAAATAAGTTCATAAAAATTGAAAAATCTCATCAAAATTAAAATATTGTTCACAAATTTGAAGAACTTCAGCTTTTTGAAAAAGTTCAAATAAATAGTTCATTAATTTGAAAAAAACTCATGGATTTAAAATAAGTCATAAAAATTGAAAAAGCTCATCAAAATTAAAAGATTATTCACAAATTTGAAAAAAAAGAACATACAATTAAAAATGGAAAAAAATGAAATTGAGAAAATGTTCAATTTTTTTATAAAGCTCACACATTCAAAAAGGAAATAAAAAAATAAAAAACAGACAGAAGACCTGGTCTAGAAAAGACAGAACAAAAAACTGACCAGACAACTTCTAGAAGTTTCCCAAAATCGGTTGGGAATAGAACGAACTCCTGCTATGATCCATATATGGCCCGACCCATTTGCTAGTGATAGGGGATTGAGCGTGGGCGGCAGTTAGTAGAATAGCTTGTAACTGGCGCCTTAAGCCCCTAATAGGAAATGGTCAGGCAGACACCCGTCGATGTGGACCTGTGCGGTTGCATCGCACGGCTATTAGTGTAGATGGCTCTCTTATATGTTCTCTTTTCTTAGCTCTGACACAATTTGTAGCATGTTTCTCTAGGTTGCTTTAGCACTTGCCGTGGCTTGACTCATATATCCTCTTCCTTGAGAATGATTCATACTTAGTGTAGATCTGATGCAAGTCTTATGAATACGACTGCGTACTCATCTTGCTTAATTTACTCTTTTCCCTAGAGTGTTGCAATCCAGCCAACAACAATTCAGGTAACATGTTTGTTGTTGGACGACGTTAACTAGTTATCGCACGCAGGGTCGAACCTGGGCCTGGGCAAGGATATGAACACCATATCCCTGCTTTCTTATACTTTTATGAGTATATCTATATAGCGGGGCGAAAGCCTTTTTCTCGATATGAACATCATATACTTTTATTTTGAGCCTTCTTAGGACACTTGTGTTCTTCACTTTTCTAGGGTATATTTGCTTCCATCTTATGAGTTGCATCTTAGTCGTATGACCCTCATAATGTATTCATTCATTGTTGTTGCGGGTTTGTATAGAATTATGTTGTGATACCGACCGTTCCACCCACATGGCGTATATGTTGTGCAGAAAGTGATGACTCAGGATTGTTATTATGTGGAGGCTAGCATATGCGCTAGATTTGCATAGTACCGATCCCAGGGTGATTCAACTGCCCCATCTTCTATTGATTTACCAAATAAAATTATGTTTTCTTTGACAAGCCTATAGGTGCTTACAAGAAAGTGTTTACCTAGTACAAAATCCATTTTTATATAATTACATTAACATAGGGATTACATTTTTATATAATTACAAGAAAGTGCTTACAAGCCTATAGGTGCTTACAAGAAATTTATTGATGTTGCTATGTTTGTAGACACTTGGTACAATCCACATCCCTATTTGCATTACTACAGAAACCAGATCTTCCTCCTCTGGCGCTCCCGCGGGCGGCAGGGGAGGAACCCTAGCCGCCGGCCGCCTCTCCACCTCTCTTCTCCTCCTCCTCCTCCCGCCGCCGCCAGAGGGCGCGCCCGGGCGAAGCCCGGCCGGCGCCGGCGGCGGCGGGGCGTCTTCATCGCCTCGTTCGGGAGGGCTGGCGCGGGCCGGCCGACCTGGATCTGGTCACGGCGTTCTCGCGGGGCGCCGCGGCGCGGCCCCTCATCGGCGCAGGTTGGCGCGCGGGTGTGCGGGTGGCGTGATGGGCTGCTCCTCGGTGGTGCTCGGCTGGTGTGGTGACGCGGCGGCTCGATCCAGATCTGGTTGGGGCGGGCTGCTGGCGGTGCGGGCTGCGGGCGGCTTCCTCCGCCGTGGCCGGCTGGCGGAGGGGTCGGCGCAGCAGTGGTGGCCTCGGCCTCGGCCTTCCCCTCCTCTTCTTCATCCGGGGGGGAGGAGGTGGGATGGGCCGGGGGTCGGGGATGGCTGCCGGCGCCCCAGCCAAAGCTGACCTCGCGGCGGCAACGCTTTGGGGTTGGCCGACGGATTGTGGTTTCGGTGGTGCGTGCCCGGCGGTTTGGCGACCCGTGCACGAGGGATGGAGGTCTTCGATCAAATCCAGGTGAAAACCTGCTATTGGCGATTGCCAAGGCCGGCGATGGCGACGCTGTCTGCGTCGTTTCCTTCCTGAAGGCATCGTCGTGGAGAAGTTCAAGGCCACTCTCTGCTACCTCCGGGGGAAACCCTAGATCAGTAGATCGGATGACGGCGGCTCGCTGGTGTCGTTTCCCCCCTGGGGGCGTCATTCTTGGAGGTGCACACGGGCTCGAGGGACTAGAGGACGGTGACTTTGGTGGAGGGGTGCTTCATCTTACACATTGATGGTGGCGGATCTCGGCGGCGTGGCGCTGTGGAGACTCGGCGTCTGATGCGCGGAGATGGACTCGTGCAGGAGGTGGAAGCTGTCTGGCGTCATGGTGGCGTTGATGGCAGATAGGCCTGGCAAGGTCGGTGCAACAGTACATCTCTGAAGATGGATTGGTGGCAGGCGGCTGCGACGGCCTCATACCCTGCAGGGGTCTTGGTTGAGAAGCACGCCAGACTGGTGGGTGCCCATACCAGGCAGGCGTCCTGGGTGGGACCTCAAGTCTTTAGATGTTTTGGTTTGGCTGCGTGGTCTGTTTGGTATTAGGCCCAGACTTTCAGCGCTCCTACATCAACTGGATAGGGATAGCTACAGTTGTTGCTTGTTTTGGTGGCTTTAGACTTATTGTTGTATGACTCTGTACGGTCTTGTGTCAATAATTAATAAAATGGCCGTATGCATCGCCCAGATGCAGAGGTCGGGGTCGTCTTCCTTTTCTAAAAAAAAAAATTAACATAGGCAAATAAATCACAGACTAACCTACTGAAACATTTATGCCTCTCTTACAATGTAATGGAAACTTATGTAGTCTTGTGGATTTACAATGTGATGGAAAATTATGTAGTCTTGTGGAACGAGGAATTATCTGTTAAAGATTGAGGCTTTGGATCTTGAGATAAGGGCATCGTGATCGGGAGTAGGAGTAGCATATTGCCGTCATTTCATTTCTTCTGAATCTGCGTTCAAACCAAAGATTCGGGCTAGGGTCACGCTGTAGGCTTGCAGCGTGCATGGACACAGCTACGGCACCGGTGTACAGCTAGTTAAAACAGTGGACGGCGCCGCACGCAACGGAAACGCAACAAATCTGCTGCATATGCATATCGTAATGGCAAAGTCAACTCGCCCTATGCAAGAATCGAAGCTCTTAATCTATAGTCAAATGGAAGCCTTTCGTCGGGGCTGAAACGAAAACCATTTTAACTGCAGATGCAGAGCAGATCAGCCATAAATACTGAAGGCAGCAGCCACGCAGACATAGAGCAAGTGTCCAGTTTCACTGTAGCCTACCAGTAGTGCCGGCAATGGCTCGCCGCCAGCGAGTGGAGGCTCGAGAGATGGCCGCACTGGTGACAAGGCTGTCACTTGCTCTAGCTGCGCTCCTGTCTGGATGCGCGGCGCAGCCGGGCATCAGGTTCGGTTACTACGACAAGACGTGCCCGGGAGCGGAAAGGATCGTGTTCAGGGAGACGACGAGGATCGTCAGGGCGTCGCCGGACCTGGCCGCGTCCCTGCTCCGGCTGCACTACCACGATTGCTTCGTGCAGGGCTGCGATGCATCTGTGCTGCTCGACTCCGCAGACGGGAGCCCCACGGAGAAGGATGCCATACCCAACGAGAGTCTCCGAGGCTTCGACGCCGTCGCGCGGGTCAAGGACAAGCTCGAGAAGGCGTGCCCGGCCACCGTCTCCTGCGCCGACCTCCTCGCGCTCATGGCACGAGACGCCGTCGTTCTGGTACATCACAAGAACTTGCCTCTTGTCTCATCGCGTACTGCCAACTTGTCTTTCTGTATCTGAAACTCTGGATCTGATCCGTCGACCCCAGAGCAAAGGCCCATCCTGGCCCGTGGCGCTCGGCCGGAGGGACGGCCGGACGTCCCGCGCCGAAAACTGCGGCGAGCTGCCGCCGCTCTACGGAAACATCACGGTCATGATCGAGGTGTTCGCGGCCAAGGGCCTCGATGTCAAGGACCTCGTCGTGCTCTCGGCCGGGCACACGCTTGGGAAGGCGCACTGCTCATCCTTCGCCGACCGCCTCTACAATGGCAGCATCCGCAGCACCGACCCGACCCTGGACGGAAGGTACGCCGATAGGCTGAGAATGCACTGCCGCGGCCCCAGCGATAGCAGCGCGGCTGCAGAGATGGACGCCGGTAGCTGCGGGACATTCGACACGAGCTACTATCGGCAGGTGGCCAGGAGGCGCGGGCTGCTCCGGTCGGACGCCGGCCTCATGGAGCATCCCTTCGCCGGTGCCTACGTCCGCCGCGCCGCCACTGGCAGGTACGACGGGGAATTCTTCCGGGACTTCCGCGTCTCCATGGCCAAGATGGGCGCCATCGGCGTGCTCACCGGCAACCAAGGGAAGATCAGGACCAAGTGCAACCTTGTCAACTGAATGTACTCTAGGCTCACGCATGATTGCATTGTCACGAACTAGGTTGTGCCACGATTTATTTTACTCTTCACGCGCCCACACGCCTTCATCACCATTCATTTTGCCACGTATGAATAGATGACATCAGCAAAAATCTTTTTGGTTTTTGGCTTAAAAATATTTTATTTCCTAATTAAAAAAACAAATTAAAAATCCGTTTTCACCATTAAATACGTCTCGACGAGATCTTCAAAACTAGACCCCATGTTGATATGTTTCGACGAAATTTTTTTTTTGACCAAAAGTTATCATGATGTTTACAGTGTAGTTGCCATGATGCTTAAACTAAAGTTGTCACGTGGCAATTTTAGTTTGTAGATCATGACAATTTTAGTTTTTGATAATGGCAATTCGAATACTTTGACTATGAAAATATTTTTTTGCATGAACCATGGCAATTTTAAGTGCATGTATCATGGCAATTTTAGTTTATGGTGCATGACAAGTCTAGTTTCTTAATTCTCTATTTTATAATATGTCAAAAATTACTTTTTAATATAGAAGAAAAATAGCTGAAACATAACATGTCAACTTTAGTGTAAATATCATGGTAATTCATGTGCAATAGACATGGCAACTTTTAACAAAAAAAGATTTTGTCAAAATATATTGATATGAGATCTAGTTTTGAAGATCTCGTCGCGAGGGATTTAATGGTGAAAACGGATCTTCAATCGAATTTTCATTGAAGAGATAAAAGATTTTAAAAACTGAAAATCCAAAAAGATTTTCACATGCATGCATGCGGTGACATGGCGTAGTCTGTATATTATAGGGCGTGTAGGCGGGTTTGACTCCCACCACACATGTGGGCGTTAGCGTTGTCCTTTGTTTATTATCATGAGCTAGCTATATACATATTGATGTTAATTTGCTTCGTTAGTTTGTTGCGTTGTATTTTCAAGAGTACACGAACAATATTTTGTAGAAGGGAGCAAAATATGTACAAGATGGATCAAACATTGCTAGCAGTGGTAGATCCACCCACACCCACACCTAGAGAAGAAAAAACTACTCTCTCACAAAACGATGTAAACTTTCTACACCGGTATTGGACCATTCCTTGATTTCATCGAGGATTTGATCAACCAAAAGTCTTGGACATCTATGATTGGTCATTCTCCCAAACACTCTCGCTTTGCGTTGTTCATCAAGACCAAGTGATGGCAATGAACAGGATGTCGAAACCTCTCTTGTTGGCGTCAAGGAAGCCGCTCCTCGCTTTGTCCCACCACCTGATGAGTGAGAGGTTTTCATCCGGGGCCACAATGCAACGATGCCAAACTTCCCTTGCGTACACACACTGAACGATAATGTGATCAACTGTGTCTTCGTCTTGCAGGCATGAGTAGCAAGCGGACGACTGCTCTTGGAGGCCATGCCATATGCCCTGTGATCGGATATCCAAATGTGGTACTGAACGGCCAGCCATGCGAAAATTTTGCACTTAAGAATCGCATGTGGATGTGAGGATTTGATGTTCTTGCTATGCTTCCCTTGAGTGTTGCTTCGGTTCAGTTCAATGACATCATGAGTAGCTTTGTATAAAGTTCTGATAATCGGTTGCCTCTGACTGTCGACGATCGGCTAACAGTTCTTTGGGCTTCATCATAGTCAAGAATAGTGAATCGTCGCAAACACAAGAGGGTGATGAAGATGAACGATCTTCTGGGGGGTCATGTGTATTTGACAAAGATTAGTGTGGGGTTAGAGATTTTACAATTAGGTATCTTCGCTCACACACCTAGAAAGTTAATCTAGCAACAAGAAGTATCACCTTGATTGTGTACGTAGGTAGCTAGTGTTATATAGAAAGCCTAGAATCCACGTAATTGAAATTTGCCAAACTGATTAGAGGACGTCTAACTTGGTTTTGCAGATTTGCATATGATGTGGTATAGCCATCGTCATGATAATGAGTTTTTGTATGAGATGGTTATATGTTGTAATGTTAAGTGGCATGTGTGTCATGGTATGATGGCTCGAGCCACGAGAATGCCACTTTTAAGGAAATAGATGTAGATAGAGCCTACAGGTTACAGGTGATGGTGGCAAGTGTACATGGAGAACCCCGACATGGAGGAGGTGTACAAGGCCCAGGAGGATGCGCTAACAATTCCGTGTCACGGTCTGTTTTGTAAATTTGGTGTCACGATAATGTTTTTGAAACGGTCGCGATGGCAACATTTTCTAAAATTGCCGCCATGACCGCGTTTTTGAAAAAGCTGTTGATACGTCTCCAACGTATCTATAACTTTTGCTTGTTCCATGCTGTTATATTATCATTCTTGGATGTTTTACAATCATTTTATAGCAACTTTACATCATTTTTTGGGACTAACCTATTGACATAGTGCCAAGTGCTAGTTGTTGTTTTTGCTTGTTTTTTACTTCACAGAACATAAGTACCAAACGGAGTCCAAACGCAGCGAAACTTTTTGGAGATTTTTTTTGGACCAGAAGACATCCAGTGTGCCAAAAAGTACCAGAGGGGGCTCCGAGGGGAGCACAACCCACCAGGGCACGCGCAGGTGGGTTGTGCCCACCTCGGTGGCCTCCCGCACTGCCTCTTCGCCCTATAAATACACAATTCTAGCCGCCGCGAGTTCCAGAACCACGAGATCCAATCTAGACACCGTCACGGAGGGGTTCATCATCCTCATTGGTGCCCTTTGATGATGCGTGAGTAGTTCATCATAGACCTACGAGTCCATAGACAGTAGCCAGATGGCTTGCTCTCTCTCTTTTGATTTTCAATACAATGGTCTCTTGGATATCTATTTGATGTAACTCTCTTGGCGGTGTGTTTGTTGGGATCCGATGAACTTTGAGTTTATGATCAGATCTATATCCATGAATATTATTAGAGTCTTCTTTTGATCTCTTATATGCATGATTACTTATGGCCTCGTGTTTCTTCTTCAAATCTTTGGTTTAGTTTGGCCAACTAGATCGAATATTCTTGCCATGAGAAGAGGTGCTTTGTGATGGGTTTCATCTTGCGGTGTTCTTTCCCAATGATAAAAAGGGCAACAAGACATGCATGTATCGTTGCTATTAAGGATAACAAGATGGGGGCTATACCTACATGAATAGATCTTGTCTACATCGTGTCATCATTCTTATTGCATTACTCCATTTCTTCATGATCTTAATACACTAGATGCATGCTGGATAGCGGTCAATGTGTAGAGTAATAGTAGTAGATGCAGGCAGGAGTCGGTCTACTAATCTTGCACGTGATGCCTATATAATGATCATTGCCTGGATATCATCATAACTATCTAATTTTCTATCAATTGCCCAACAGTAATTTATTTACCCACCATCTGCTATTTCTCGAGAGGAGCCACTAGTGAAATCTACGGCCCCCGAGTCTATTCTTTATCATATTTGCTTTGAGATCTATTTTTAATTGCTTTTGTTTTCAGAACTATTATTCCAAAAACCCAAAAATACCTTGCTGCATTTTTTTGTTATTTATTTTATTCTGCACTTTATCGAGATCTATTTATCCAATCTATCACAATTTTATCCTGTCAACTTGACATTATCTCACGCCGTTACCCGAAAAAAGGGATTGACAACCCCTTATAAGCGTCGGGTTGCAAGTATTTGTTCTTTGTGTGTAGGTACCGTTTACATAGTGTTGCTTGGCTCTCCTACTGTATTGATACCTTGGTTTCATAACTAAGGGAAATACCTACGTAGTTGTGCTGCATCATCCTTCCCCTTTGGGGAAATACCGACGTAGTTCAAGCGACATCAAAAGGAATTTCTGGCGCCGTTGCCGGGGAGACATCATCAACATCTATCAGGTTCCTAATCACAAATATTATCTCCTTTCAATTTACATCATTTTCCAATTGCCTCTCGTTTTCATCTCCCCCACTTCACAAAAATATATTTACCTTTTTTTCGTTTGATCTTTTGCTTGCTTGTGTTGTCGTGTTTCTTCTATTTGCTTGCATCTTCGCTTGCTAAAAATCTATTGATATGGATCCCCATCCACTTGCTAATCTTATATGATGAACAAATTGCTAGTGAATTGAGTTCACTATATTATCTTTATGAAGTTTTGCTGGAGATTCATGAATCTGAAAATTGTGATGAAGTGTTAAACGAAGAAACTTATAAAGTGATTCATGATAGCTCCTGAAATTAAAAGCATGATTGCAATGGTGTTATTATAAATTCTATTAATGTCAATTGTGTTAGTGATATGCAAAACTCCAAGCTTGGGGATGCTTGTTTTGCTATGTCCACAACTTATTGCAATGATCATGATTGGGGTGATAATGATTCTTATGATCTTGAAAATTTATGTAAATCTCATGATGAATATGCTTGCAATAATATTAAAAGTGGGTTCGAAAGAGTGTCAACTCTAGGTAAAAATAATCCCACATATTTGGAGAGTGTTCAATCTTGTGAAATTTTTGATAAAAGTGGGTTTGGAGAGGTGATGACTTTAGTTGATGTTGATCCCACTATCTTGGAAGATTTTACAACTTTTATGCATGTGGATCATGAAGAGAAAATGTTATGTGATAGCTATATTGTTGAATTTGAATATGATCCTACATATAATTATTATGATAAAGGAAAATATGGTTGTAGAAATTTTCATGTTACTAAATTACCT